TCGTCAAAGTAGAGGAAAGGTCAGGAGCTAGTGAGAGAGCAATTAAGTCAGGCAACACCGCAGGCGAGTCTCTCCAAGAGGCATGATAGGTGTGAAGTGAGATCTTTTAAGAAACTCCTACACCATGGCACATACAGAGTGCTTGCCTTTGCTATCCTACGGTGTTGTCACGCGGGTGCATTGTTGCTATACGCAACCAATAGGCCCTTAGTGCCCTACGCTGTGCACACTATGGCCATGCACTTAATGTTAACCCACCTGCTTAGGCCTAGGTCACGCACCTCACTTAATGACGACTCTGGCAAGGCTAGCTAACTTAAAACACCGTTAGCATTCAACTCGAACCTGCAGCCAGCATGTGCCACATACCCAAAATACTAATATGAATATTTACACAAGGAGAAATGGTAAATGTTGAACAACAATACAACAGAAATCAATAATTTACTTCTCGCTTCTAATGAGAAGTGGGTATGAAATGATAAAAAGGAAACCACTAGGGGAAAAAAGGTAAGTACAGCACTAGCCTACGGGGCGAAGTCTGCCTACACTGTTGGCTTAGGTTCCTCGCGTTGCACGGCTCGATGTAAACGGCAACCAACGCGATGGATAACGTCGTTGACAGATCTACGGACAACTTCAACTCAATCCCTTTGGACGCGTCGATCTTCTCTTTTTCTCTGCACTCTCTCCGCATGGCACTCTATGGCCATTCGATTCGTCGCCGCTTTCCTAGCGGTATCTGGAACCTTCGATCCGTTTAGCGCGGCAGGACCGCCGCGCGCGCCTACCATAAACGTGACCTTTCAGAAGAGTCGTATGGAAATCCCGACAACAGGCAAACGCGACCACTTCCTGGAATGCCTGCGAATGAACGTAATAAATGAATGAGTGTTATCTAATGAAATGAGATGTTATCACAATTGTAACATTAGGTCAAAGTGATACCTCATTTCGATCGGTTTCCAGTTTTGCAAGCGGTAGTTTTCTTCTATCATATCTCATTTCATAGTGACTCTGCATTTTTGAGCGTACAGATAGACAAG